TGAAGGAAGAGAGGAGTGCAGCTAACAATTACGGAACACCTAGTTCATGAGACACCCTATGCTAGGTATCTGATATACAATATTGAGTGTAATCCAGGCAATATTCCTACAAAAAAAGGATTATAATCTCCAGCTTTAGAGGTTAAGAAAAGGGGCAGAGCACTGAATGTTCAGAACTCCAAGTGAAGTCCTGGAAGAATTATAAATAGACCTAAATTGAAACGCTCTGAAGGCTAGTGGGCTGGCTTCTTTTGCATCCTGGTTCCCTCCTTGAATTCTCTAGCTCCCAGACTTGAACTGGTGCTGCAGGGACAAGGCGCTGAGCTTCCAGAGAACACCAATAGTGCATCCCTTTGCTGTTCTATTTATCCCCTTTGGACAAGGGGGAGCATGTAATCATGAGGTAACTGAATAAAGCATCAAAGATATAATCAGGTGGCTCATTTTTTAAACTTCTAATAAACTTTCAGCAATGAAAAATTGATGAATGGGGGCTTTCCCGGTGGCTCAGTGGTAAGGAATCCTCCTGCTGATGCAGGGAACACAGGTTCGATCCCTGATCTGGAAAGATCCCACATGTGCAACTAAGCCCGTGGACCACAACTACTGAGTCTGTGCTCTAGAATTTGGGAGCCACAACTACTGAGCCCATGGGCCACAACTAGTGAAGCTTGTGCGCGCTGTAGAGTCCATGCTCTGCAACAAGAGAAGCCACTGCAATGAGAAGCCTGCACAATGCAACTGGGGAATAGCCCCTGCTCACCTCGACTAGAGAACAGCCTACACAGCAACAAAGACCCAGAGCAGCCAAAAATTAATCAGTTAAAAAAAAATGAATGAAAGAATCTCTACCTGCAGCATTCAATTACCAACACCATCACCACCAGTGCCACTTCCTGGAGATGCATTTTTTTTCTCGGAAATTTTTTTTAAGATTCAATTTTTAAAGGCTGGCTATTGCATAGATTCTTTAAATGCATTCATTTCCCTCCTGATTTTATTAATATGCTTCCCCCTCTGAATGTCACTCTTGCTCAAAAGCAGAGTAATTACTTCCCTGTAAGGTATGATTGGAGTGGTACGACAACAAAAAAATGCTTATGTTTATAAGTATTTCTTCCCGGTAGCTTCACTTGATACTCCGTGTTTTTCTCTAAGGCATTAGATGGTCCCAATAAACTGCCGTATTAATAATAACAACATTTAGTTAGATAATTAAACCATAATAAGCTATTATCACTTTTGAATTCATTAGTTGATGAGCCAGAGGTTAAACTGGGCAAATGGGGCAAAAATTCAAAAGAGTCCATTAAAGCAAACTGGGCCTATCCTAAATCCAGGCCCCTGATCAGGGCAGCATTCAAGGGTGCCCATGAAGGCAGCTAAAGGCATAGGGGTTGGGAGAAAACAACCCAAAAAGCATATTCCCCATTTTTAAAACAAGGACACTGTATAGAGCAAAGTTTATTTTAAAATACAATAGACACGTCGTGATATGGCCCAGCTGAAAATGTCTACGGTGGCTGAGTATCTGCCCTGCTACTGGGCTTAAGGGTTCCATTTTGCCCCTTTTTAATATAGAAATCACTATTTTTAAGCAAAAGGTTAGATCCTGGCTTCACAGTCTTAAAAACTTCATTTTATTCTTCCATTAAAAGCAACTTTACATGCAAATGCACTGCTGGTTTAACTGAAGGTGGTTCAAGTATGCTTCTTACTCTGAAATCTTTCTCCTAAATCCCAGGTATGAGTGATTATATCACACAGAAAATAAACAACGAAGACCCCACTCACATTTGAGAATCATTTACCATCCCCACTCCCTAAGCACCCTCAAATGGGAAATGGAAATAACAAGACTGATCATAATTGGATTAAGAACTATAATTCTTTAATTCATTCATCAAATTGAGGCATTTGGAACAGTTTATTTACAGAATTGTTTAGACAGTTTTGTGTGGTGTTTTTTAAGATAAACCAAAATGCCTTTCTGAAAGAAGTTTCAGATCCCAAATCATTAACATATGAAAACCAAATGTAGGCAATTTACAAATGGGTGTTTTAAAACAACGTTTGGAACAAATTGGACTTTTATTTTATTAACTATCTACAAATCTAAGCTCAGGATATAGCTTATTTGAAAGAGCCAAGCACTTTCTTCACCTTTCAAATAAACCTCCATTTCTCAGGCTAAAGAAGTGTGATAAGCATGTGAGGGAACACATCAACTTCTAGCCTAGACAAATAAGTTTTCCAAGCTACTCTCAAAACTCTAATTACAGCATTCTCTGCTACCAGAGGTGATCGGACACTGGGTGAATCATCCAGGTTATGCCAATCAATCATAAACAATTCTACCTGCTGGAAATCTAAATAGTGTTCAGTGTTAGAACTCTAAGTTATTTGAAATCCAGTATATTTTAGAGTAAAAAAAACAAGTTTTATCCTGCCCTGAGTATTATAATTTTATATAATCTAGCTGCGCTTATTTGCTTAGTCATGTCTGACTCTTTTCGACCCTGTAGCCCGCCAGGTTCCTCTGTCCATGGAAACTTTACAGGCAAGAATAGTGGAGTGGGTTGCCATGCCCTCCCTCCAGGGGATCTTACCCACCCAGGGATCGAACACAGGTCTCCCGCATTGTGGGTGGATTCTTTACCGTCTGAGCCACCAGGGGAGCCTATATAATCTAGACATACCTTCAAAACAATGGTTGCCTATCACTCAATAAAGGGATACAGCTTTTACAAGAAGACAGTTTGTTCTTTTAATCATTATATCATATTTTTCATTTGCTTTAAAGAGAAAAAAATTCCCCAAGCATTCAGGTTTTTTAAATGGAAAATGAAATTTTAAACTCTCCCTACAGCTTCTGCCTTATGCCCAAAAAGGATTAAAAAAAAAAAAAGCAGCAGCTATATCTCAGTATAAACTTCACTCTTGTTATTTACTGTTTACTCCATATACTCCACAGATAACATCTTTATAAGCATATATTCTTTTTTTCTTCTTTTACAAAACCATGTGTCAGTCTAAACAGGATGTGCATTTACATGTATAGAACTAAGTTAACTTGAAATAACCACTGGATCTCAAATGCCTGGTTATTTACCAAATAAGTTTGAGTTTTGAATCCTGTCTGCCATTCAACCAGAACTGTTCAATCTCAACAACAAAAACTGTATAAGGTTTCTCTATGAAGAGTTCAAGCTCTTTTTTCCTGTATTAAGAGTACACTTTCAAGTCTGTATCAGATTGATTCAATACTGCCCACTCAAAATGGCTACAAAAAGATTTTTTTTAACCCACAAGCAAACAAAAACTCTGTTATTTCTGCATGTACAAGGTTGTTAGAAAGACCACTGGAAAGAAAGGGAAAAAAGAATTTCAAGCAAGTATGCTGCTATATAATTAACACAAATAACTAAATAATTATCCACATCCCTTCCCATCCCCACAATTAAATGTTTTTAAACAACTCGTGTGATGAAAGATCTACCTTTTAGGCAAACAAAAGCCATCCCTACCAGTTTAAGGATTTAACTGATGCTGTATTGCATCAGTTTTAAGTGATGCTTATGATTTTTATCTTGTATACTTCTGAGGAATAAACAGTTAATGACATAATCTGCAGGAGAACTTTACACAATGCCTAAGAGAACTTTCAGTGAAAGTACTTATGATTTTAAATCATTGTGGCTGGATTTATCTAAGCTTCAGCCTCAGAGCTATATTTAAATCAGGAAGAAGCACCCCCAGAAACTCTCTCCCATGTATCAGCGTTGGAAACCAGATTCCTTTCCTATCAGAGTTAATGGCAGTTCACCCTACAGCTGAATTCTTTCAAAATTAGACAGATCAAAATTCAGCAGTTCTGTAAAGTCTCTAAGAGAGCGTCCTCCTTGTAAATGCTATAAAAGACAAAGTTAAAAAACATTTCCGTATACTTTAAAACCATCTGGCCCTTAACCTAATCACTTCTGGCAATCGAGCCTTACTCCTGGTAATCCTGATCAAAAAGTCTGCTCTGGTTTTTCTGATTGAAATGTCCATTGCCTACAAATCTCCCACACACCTTCTTGATTGGCCTGTTTTGTTTGTGTGGTTTGGTTTGGTTTTGTTTTGTGTGTGTGTGTGTGTGTGTGAAAGATACTAGGGGCCATTATTTATGAACAGCAAGGAAACAAATCACTCTGTCTAGTCTCTGCAGATTCCCACACTTATTACCCAAAATCCCCCAGCTCTTCCTCGGTCTTGACCTGAACGAAAGAACTGTGCTGGGCCTGAAGGCAGTCTCTTGGGGAAACCGGCTCATGCTTTTCTTGAGAAACTACTTTGGATATCTGGATATAGTGAGGATCTCAACTGGGTTAGAACTAATCCCTAAACTTTTCTCAAAAAGTACAGTTGACTGCCACCCAGAGTGCCTGGGCTGGCTGGCACTGAGAATATCGTTTTGCACAGTCACAGAATTTCTCATTTTGACCCGCTTTCAGTTGGGAAAAGGAAGATAACGACATGAATTCACATTCGCCACCGCTCTGCCTTTGGTCACAGAGGCCAGCGTCTTTAGATATTCACCAGGGTCCACCTATGTATTAATAGATTCGCTTTGTAACGTGGAAGGGAAGTTACTATTAAAATATGTAAACAGTGCTTCGTGTGCATCCCATGCCAGCCGATCAATACTCAACCAACTGCTGCTAACAGACGCAAACATTTCCAAATGCAATTTGATCTCAACTCGTATAACCTCTTTTCCTGGCTTTAGGACTGGAGCCCAAAGTGCAAGCGAGGTTTCCCCAACCCCGCGCTTCAAGTGACAACACGTGAGCGGTCTCCACTTAGTACTCGGAGCGGGGTGGGGGGCGAAAAAGTAGTTGCAATTAAACATTAAAGCTTCCGGTGTCTGAAATCCCTAGAATCTACGAGGATGAGGCTCCTTTCCGAAATTCCGGGCGGGAGGGGCCGGGAGCGGGAGCTGGGGAGGAGGAGGACTGATGCGGAGAGGGATGGCAGAAAGCGAAACAAAAAGACAACCGGGGGAGCGCTCAGGTAGTGGGGTGGGCCGGGGGTCGCGCGTCCGTCCTGGGAAGGATCGGAACCACCCGCCACCCCACCCCGCCCTGGCCAACTTTGAGGGGCTGCCGCGGGCCGCCGGCCGAGAGGCACCGACCAGCCTTAGCGTTTTCCCAGCGCTCCTCCGGCCCGCCTCGCTCATCACCATCTCCACCGCCACCACTTGCAAAACAATACTGGCAGCGGCACGCAGGCTCCCCGAGCGAAATATATAAAGTTAGCCCGTTTGCTGAACTGGGTCCAAGCCCGCACTCCGGGGTCCCCGGCGGACGGCCGTGCCCCGAGCGGGGGTGGGGGACGGGGCGGCTGTCAGCCCCGAACCTCCTCCCGCCTCCCCGCGCCCCCACCCTGTCCCCCTCCCTCCGTACTTGAGGAAACTCCGCCGGCGGCCCCCTCCCTCCTTCGCCGGCTCTCCAGCTGGAGCCGCGAGCGAGTGCGGCGCGGCGGGCACGGGGAGAGCGCTGCGCCTTGGAGGGCTGCCCGCAACCACGTCGGGACCCACAACAAAGTTAAAACGCTGCGATTCACGCACCTTACCGGCTTTCCTCAGCGTCTCCTCGGGCGCGGGATGCAAAGTGGCACAGCGGCGGGCTGGGGGGCCCCCCGGGAGGAGACTGGAGATGGGTTTGGTGGCTTGCCTTTTCCACTGTGTGTGTGTGTGTCTGTGTGTGTGTCTGTGTGTGCGCGCGCGCGTCCCTCTCCCCCAGTCTCTGGCTCGCTCGCTCGCGCTCCCCGTGTAGCTCTCAAGGACGAGGTGAAATCCCTTGGCTGGTCATGAGGCGGCTTCAGAGACAAACAACACAATGCGAGTGCAAATAACAAAAGGCAAAAAGACAGTCGGAACAATGGGGGAGGCGAGGGCAGCGCACCCGCCGCCGGTCAGCTCGGCCCGGCGCCCGCCCCGCGGGGGTGCGGCGGGGGCGGGGCGGGGGCTCGGGCTCCCTCCAGGTCGCCCCCCGGGCGTCCGCAAACCCACCCTGACCTCCTTCCTGCCGCGGGCCGCCCGGTCGCCCTCTCTGTCCATCCGAAGGGGAAAGAGCCCGGAGTTGGCTTCCCCGTCTGCTGCCGAGTAACTAGATTGTAAATAACGCGGCGATGACCCACACCGGGCAGGAATTTTTTTTTTTTTTTTTTTTTAAAGAAAACAATCTGCCCTCCACTTCAAGGAGCGATAAAATGAAATGGCAGGAGGGGAAGGAGGCAGGGAGAAGGAGACTATCTCTAGATCTTGATGGAGCTCGCGTCTATAAATATGCATTCGTGTTTAGTCAAGTCCCCTTTGTCAACTTCTTCCCTGCGCTGAAACCTCACCCGCTGTCCTGGAATCATCACCTGGGCCCCTTGGCGCCCCCCCGACTCCCGTTTGCACGCGGGAAAGCCGGCGCGGAGGGCGCGCGTGGGGGTCTGCGGCTGTCAACGGAACCTTCTGGGAGGCGAGCCGCTGGCCGCCCAGCGCCGAGGCTGGAGCGGCGAGTGGTTTGGTTTTTAAAGCGACCACTGCTCCCACGAAGAGCCGCTCTGCGCCCGCGGGTCCCCGCCGACGGCACTCCGCACCCACCTACTCCTTGACGGGTGGGGAGGTGGGTGAGGGGGAGAAAAGTTTTGAGGCGCTCTCATCTCTGCCTCTGGGATGGTTGAAGTGGTTTGGTTTTGTGTGCGTAAAGCACCAAATCCCAATGCCCAAGAACCGGGGAATGATGTTTAGTGGGGGGGGGGGGGGGTCGTCTCAACAAGGGTCGGCGGCTGGGGCTTCGACTCCTGAGTCTGCGACCGTGGAGACGGCGCAGGAAGGCGAGACGGAGCCTCCCCGGAGTCTCAGCCCCATAGGAAGAAACTCCGAAGGTAATGCCCGGAGCAGGAGCTGTGGGGGCTGATTTGTGTGTGTTCTGACAGCTCCCGGGCTGCTCCGGCGCTTATCTCTACCCATCTTACTTTCATTGACTTAAAACAGCAGCCGGTTTGCCAGGGGGGGTTAAAAAAAAAATCCTATTAAATCTCAAACCTAGGACGGAGCGGGGGAATCCGGACTGCTCTCCCCGGATCTGGTGTCCAGAAGGGGAAGACAGGGGGATGTCTCGAGGGAGGTCACGGGCCCGGAGGAAGCAGGGGACTAAGACACAATACGAGCAACACGTTTCTTTTTCTCGCCGTCCCCTTTCCTCTTGTTGAGCTGGATGCCAATTTGCATGTTCTCTCTCCACTCCTAGGCAAAAATTTTTTTTTCAGTCGCGCATCCACGGACTGAGCCGCGTCCCTCGGCACCCCCAGCATTTCCCAGAGAGCAACACCACCACCCGGAGATCAATGACCAGCCTGTTTATTCTTCACGCGCCTGGAAGGGCAAGGGCACTCAGGGAGCACGGGAGGGAGGCTTGGGGCTCGCCTGTGCGCGATCTCTCGCAGACTTTTTTTCTAGCTGGTTTCTAAACGGCAGCTAACAAGCAGAGAGAGTTCCTTAATGCACGCAACACATACCAGTCACAATATATTCGCCTAGAAAAGTGAGACATCCTCTCTCCCCCTTTCCACCCTTTGTAGATTTGTCTCTGGAGGTGGGTTGCTAATACCTGGGATTTTTGCACTTGTCTAGGGCGGGAACTTACTGGGGTGTTTGACAATTGATTATTTGGTACCTGCTTTCTAAAAATGGCTAAACACCTTTCCTTAGAACCAAAAGTGAGAAATGCAAATCTTAATAACTCAAGGCAAAAATTGCCAAGTGTAAGCGTGGTTATTATTCACTCCCACAAAGAAAAACTTCCTCTTCCACAAATATTTGATAGCATAGAGCCCAGTAATTAAGAGAACAATCAAATAAACTCAAGGCTTTCATGGGGACTCTAAATTATCATCTGCCTAGAATTTTTAAGCAGTGTTAATCACTTGCCAACTTGAGTATAGCTGGAGCTGTAGCATTCTAAATGTGTATCCTTAACAATTTTACTATGTTTTCTTGAGTATTTAATGAGCGAGACCACAGATATTAATAATATTCAAATTGCTGGATCAATGTGGTCTCACCAACTGTGTGAAAAAATTCTCTGTGTGCATAGAACATCTTGCTGCATGTTAGTGTTCCTCACATTGACTGTATCCCACAGGCTTCAGGTCTTGAAGCACTTGCATAGTAAGAATATAAGAATTCCTAAGAATGCACCAATAATTGCCCTGTGCACCTGGAATTTAAGTGTAATTTTATTCCAAAGAGTTCTTGGCATTTACTAAATGATTTATTCTCATAATACATAGGTAGTTGGTTGTAATGGTTAGCTTTCACTACTGGGGTCTTTATATAACCTGCAAGAAGCAGATCAGGCCAACTGCAAGAAAAACAAAACAAGCTCCTCCCCTCACTACCCATTATATGAAAATAAGTAACATTTGACAGGGGGCTCTTGTTTACAGTGAACTTTTACTTCCTCTTGGCCCATACTCAGTGTAAACAAAGGGACAGAGTGAGTTCTTTGCCCCTAGCTCTCTATCCAGTGAGTGACAAGTGTGCTGGGCTGGCCTAACCCAACCAAGCAGAACAGAGCCACCTTCTCAGGGTTTCAGTGTAGCAGCTCCTGGGACCCTCGGGTTTCCTACTTGGAGGAGATGAGAGCCTTGGGCAGAAGGAAGAAGGCGCTGTCTCAAGCTGCCTGGTGAGATATTGGTGAAACTTGAATTACACCAACCTCTTCTTTTCTTTTTTCTTTTTGCTCCTACAGGCAACAGAACTTCCAACCATTTATGGTTATTGAAACCACATGGCCTTAAGACTAACCCTATGATCATTATAGAGCAACAGCATAGCTGATCAAAAACCTCCAGTGGAATGTTTGTTTGTGTTGGGCTTAAAAAAAATACCCATATTTGAAGCGGCACTGACACATGAAAGATCAGTGTTTCCATTTATCAAGCATTTACTATGTGCCTGGCTCTTGGCCAAATGCTTTTTACGTATTTTGTCCCTATTTTTTACCACAAACCTGCAAGAAATATTACATCCCTGTTTTGCAGATGAGAAAACTAGAGCTCAGAAAGGTTAAATGACTTGCCCAGAATCATATGGCTTCTAAGTGGTTGTGCCAAGTTGCCAATACTGTCTGCTCCAGCTTTAAGCCCTTCCACTGCACCTGGATACACTGACATTTTATATTAAGATCAGTCTTTCAGTAAGAAATATTATTTCCTTAAATGCAGAGATTTAAAATACCACATTTGTACTATGTAGTGTCCAGAAATGATCTGTGTTGGCATTCTCATGCTGCTTAATAGATAACTGTGAAATTTCCAAGAAAATCTTATGTGTCATATAAAAAAGAGTGTCCATGTATACTAAATATAAAAGGTACCTAACAATATATATGAAATTATCATATTTTATAGGCCAAGCAATTATGTATTATATGTATATATCCATATGATATAAATGGTAAAACAGTAGCTGAAGTTTTAGAATCCATATAATTTTACAAGCATTGTTCTAAATGCTTTGCATGCATAAACTCATGTAATCTTCATGACCATAATTTTGTAATATCATTTTATAGGAAAGGAAACTGAAGTAGAGAGAGGTTTTATAATTTGTTCAAGTTTACACAATTAGCAGGTGATGGAGCCTGGATTCAAACCAAGGTACTCTAGCTTTAAGACCTTACCTACTTTGTTATGCTACCTTTCAATATATATACTCAGATGTATAAACAGTCTGCATACTTATACTCATAGGCCTATATGCTACAGTTGTTCCTTAACATAGATTTCAACTGCACAAGTCAATTTATAGGCAGATATTTTTTTCATAAACACCACAGTTCTACTCCATCTACAGTTGGTCAAATCTCCAGGTACACAGGGCAGACGACAGGACTTGAGAATCTGGGGATTTTGGTATGCAGGCATGTCCTGAAAACAATACCCTGTGGATGCCCAGGGATAACTATGTAGATTTAACTCTCAACTTTAGGGGAAAATAAAGGCATGTCAACTGAGATTTGTTGCATCCCCATATTCAAACTGCCTCCTGCAGCACTAGAAGTATTATTGATGGGAGAGGCATTTACATTTGTCCAAGATATTAAAGATTCTCTAAAATTGTTAAGGCAATCTCAAGCTCCCAAACATACTTGCAGGCATTGTTTTGTTGCAGTTGTTTTAGTCGTTAAGTTGTGTCTGACTGTTTGCAACCACATGAACTGTAGCCTGCTAGGCTCCTCTGTCCCTGGAATTTCCCAGGCAAGAATACTGGAGTGGGTTGCCATTTCCTTCTCCAGGGGAATCTTCCCGACCCAGGGATCAAACCCATGTCTCCTGCATTGGCAGGTGGATTCTGGGGAAGTGCTTATGAATATGAATTAGGAGTGTACAACATTTGACCCCAGTTGATTTGTACTAAGTTCACTTTGGATTTCTTTGGTCATATGTGTTAAAAAGAGCAGAGATAGGGTACTTGGGAATCCTAAAGAAGATAGTGAAGGAGGCTAATAAATACAAAAAGCTGTGACCTGAGAAGTAGAGGGAAATTTAGAGGATGCAAGAAACCAAATATGTCATGTCATCATAATGGCTATGAATAATCCATTTTTATTCATTTTTTTAATTCATTTTTTTAAGTTAGGGTAGTTTGTCAACTCTTACTCCATTAACAAGAGTATATTATATAGTGGTTATTTAATATAATGGTTATTTATGTTTAACAATTATTGACTAAAACAATTATATCTCTCAAAGGAACCTTAAAATATTTGATAAGAATCCCAGATATATGAGTGGTTTATCCCACGTCCATTTTTCTTTATGCATATCAAATTGTAAAAGTAAGCTTCTCCAGAAACTAACACAACATTGTAAATCAACTATACTCCAATAAAAATTAATTTTAGAAAACTTTAAAAAATAAAAGTTAGCTTCTCCAAATCAGTCAACTTTGAGAAAATACTGTGAGATCATCTCTTTCTCTTCTTCTCTCCCTAAATACAATTAGGGATTATCTGTGGAAGGAAAAGTAACTGATGACAATCTTCCTTCCTTGGATCCTCTTAATGCTGATAACAACTGAGATACTGACATCTAAACGATTAACTTTACTGGTTCTAATGTTCCTCTTCAGAAAAACTGAAAAAGACACCCTATACCTAACAGATGCCACACATTAAGCTCTTACTGAAAAAAACTTTTAAAGCCCTATTACAGATACATATGTTTTCATTTAAAAACTACTATGAAATCGAGTGTTCTTTTATTTAAACATTCCCCTGTGGTTCTACGAATTAAGGATCAGTAGTACTATATTAACTGAGAGCCAGATCCAACTGGTTAAAGACAGTTGGTAAACCTGCCAACACTGGTTTTGTTGCCGAAGTTGACTGAAATGTGAGGCAGCACATACATTAAAGAGTGAATTCTAATTTTTTAAACTTTCTCATTTTGGTAAGTATTTAGAATGAACTTTTTTTTTTTCAGCCACAGTTTTGAAAAGAGGAAATAATGTATAAAACCCAGATGCTTTACACAACCAAAACCACAATTGCATTGCTTTTATTAGTGAAGTGTGTTTATTATTCTGATTGTTAAATTTTCCTTTCCTGGGAGAAAAACCTAAAGAACAAGATTGGCTCGATTCAAGAGAAACAACTTGCAGTTCCCACATCTTGTCTCTTAATTTTACTGTTTTTCAGTTTGACTTCTGTCCTTTAATTTTAAATAATGAGCATAAAATGTGGGAGGATTTAAACATGTAAAAATCGGTTTTTTTAATGTGTGGATTCTTTTCAAGTGTAGTTTTCACAATATAGTCTGTGTTCTCTATTGCTACAAATTTTGTATCAAAAATATATGAAGGTTTACATGCAATGGGACACATTGATTTAATTTATAAGGAAAAGGGTAATAACATATTTTGCTGATTTAGAATTGGTAGCAGAACAAATTATCAAGTGAGGCAATAATATTTCAAGCTTGAATCCCAGTAAGTTTTAGTTATTTGAGTCTGTGAACTCATGATTACTCCTGTTTCTGTTTCTTCTTTCAGATTTTTGATCACATATTACCAAATGTGTCATATAGTATGTGAAATGTGGAGGGCAAATGAAGGAACAAACAAAATGAAAGGTTAACAAAAGCACATAAAACAAGGAGGGTGGTTTAAAAACATTGCTTTAAAATGTCCTTTATATTTGAATTTCAGTAAACTACTGGAAGGAAGTAAATACAATTCCAATCTCGAGGTATCTGACACTTCTACTCTATGTTGTTGCTAAGTCATTAAGTCGTGTCCTACTCTTTTGTGATGCCATGGAATTCAAACCTAATTCTGGTTCAACCACCCAGAATACCTCTTGGGATTGATGAGGTCTTGATCCTAAAGATGATGACCATTTGATTTAGTACATTGTTCATTAAGCTTCTCCACATGGCCCTCTTTAGTCAAAGTGGGAGACATAATAGGTCTTTGTAAGTTTTGTAAAAATACCATGTTTCATGTGCATCATACCTTTCAAGACAAAAGGTCTAAGTCTAAATTAGAAGTGATGAGGAAAAGGTGAAGTTCCATCTAGTCAAAGCTGTCGTTTTTCCAATAGTCATATATGGATGTGAGAGTTGGACTATAAAGAAACCCGAGTGCCAAAGAATTGAGGCTTTTGAACTGTGGTGTTAGTGAAGACTCTTGAGAGTCCCTTGGACTGCAAGGAGATGCAAGAAGTCCATCCTAAAGGAAATCAGTCCTGAATATTTATTGGAAGGACTGATGCTGAAGCTGAAACTCCAATACTTTGGCCACCTGATGTGAAGAACTGACTCATTGGAAAAGACCCTGATGCTGGGAAAGATTGAAGGCGGGAGGAGAAGGGGACGACAAAGGATGAGATGGTTGGATGGCATCACTGATGCGATGGACATGAGTTTGACTAGGTTCCTGGAGTTGGTGATGGGCAGGGAAGCCTGGCGTGCTTCAGTCCATGTGGTTGCAAAGAGTCGGACATGACTGAGGGACTGAACTGAATGACTGATAGCTATTGGGATGAATGTACCAATTTCATGGCTGGAGGGAAAGCAACAATCCTGGACCTTGGTGAGTCAATATCACACCTTTGGTGATGGTGAGAGTGGGATGGGAGACAAGGATCTCCTTGTGTCCTAGATCCAGCACCATGGTCTGGCACAAAACAGCTGCAGCTGGCAGTCTGATTACCTGCTGGCTCATCACCTCTATCTAAATATTATAAACACATGAAAACTCAAGTGGACCTGAATGGCTCCAAACTCTTCTGCTGCACCTGATTCCATCAAGAGCAGCTTCAAATATGGGTCCTCAGCAGCAAATAAATGTAAACACACATTGACACACTCTTGTTTCATTTTAATGGTTACAAATTCAAATGCTTCCCCTGGTGCCCTAGCTTTCCTTGGGTTATGTCATGTATAATCCCAAGGCTATAACTACTTGCTCCTGTGACTCAAATGAAATAATGTGATGGTGAACCAAACCAAGTTCCACAGGAGATCCCTGACTGGAATGACTTGGAATATGAGCATGATGCTAGAGGTTAGAGCATCTATTTTGTAACCAAGAGTGACAAAAACATACTAAGGGTGGTTCAGAAGAAATAAGGAAGTGATATGGGTTCTAGAAGTGATTGGGAGGACTTCTCTGGTGGCTCAGTGATAAAGAATCTGCTTGCAATGCAGGAGACCCAGGTTCAATCCCTAGGTCAGAAAGATCCCCTGGAGAAGAAAAGGGCAACCTGCTCCAGTATTCTTGCCTGGGACATCCTATGGACAGAGGAGTCTGGTGAGCTACAATCCATG